GGTGATCACGCCTCGGTGCGAGGCGCAGCGCCTTGTTTGGGCTCCGCTGGCCAGAAGTCCTGCTGGAAAGGCGGCTTCGAGACCTTCCCCTGCCCCGCAGGGACGGCGGGGGTCCCGCTGCTCCGGGCGCTGCCCGCAGGGCGGTAGGTTGGGTAGTCGGGTGTGTTCCTGACCTCCTGGTTTCTTCACGTAACCCCGTGTTCCGTTCTGAACCTAGATCGTCTCCCCAAATGCCTGGCGTAAGTAAGGCTTGCACTCAGGTGACGCGGGTGTTACTCTGGAGTTGTGGTCAGAGACCTCTGTTTCGGTGTGACCGTCACCGGGCTGGTGGCTGAGGTTCACGTTAACCGAGGGAGGTGTTGGTGCAGGGAGCCTCTTCGGGCCGTCGTGAAAATCGGGGCGGGGGGAGGGTACAGAGAGCTTGCAGCCCAAAGATCAAGGAGCGTTTTCTCAACAAAACGCACTGTAGTTACTTTCACAGCTTTTTCCACCACTGTGTGTGTGTTTCTTCGCGTATGAAAAGAAACTTTACACGTTTTTTCTTCCATAAAATCGAAAGATCTTGTAGGAAAGACTGAAGTCCTTATCTTGTTTACATGATGTGTTTCTTGTCTAGGGGCCATCTGTAGTCAAGATGTCACCATCCATATGCTTACAAGAGATAACAAACTGAAAGATGGTCTAATGTTTACTGGTTACTGCTCACTCAATCAGGATTTAGTTCCCCCCCCTCCCCTCTGATATTTAAGAGCCCAGTAAATTTTCTGTTATACTTGATGAATTCAGCACCACTGAGGAACTTAGACACATTCTTCAGCTTAATTCTTGGCCCAGGGCAGATATTAAGTATAGTTTAACAATATTGGAAAATATCAGGATAAAATAAAAAACAGAGTTTGAGCTAAGCTATCTCCTTCTTCCAACTTTATGTGAATAATAATGTTGAACTGTGTCGATAGGAAATTTGCTCCCTTGTAAGATCCTTGTTTCCACCTCTTGGGTTTTCCAGAAGTTGTGTAGACATGGTTGCTGTGAGCAGCTGCCACTAAGATAAAAGTATTACTGGTTCCTGTATACCAGTATAACAGGCAGGTTTGTTGTTTAACGTTTTAATAGTATAAACATCTTTTTGAGAGTTAATTGAAGTTTTATATCATGTACAGACCAACTTTACAGTGTCATTGAAATATCTGGCAAATCTCTGACATGTCTGCTTTATCTGTTTCCTCTTTGGCTTATGTCTTGTCTTGATCTTTTCTAACAAAAGTGCAAGAAATGATTCTGCCTTTTTCACCTGATCACTTAAAGTGACAAAATTTTGCACTGTTCGTTGTTGCGAAGAAAACATTAGGAAAACTGTTTTCCTCAGTGTATGAAGGACTTACACAGGGTCTGAGAGTCTCTAAGATGTGCCTTTGTAATTTCTTGTCTGTATAACCACTAGACGTTTTCAGAAGATAACCATATTGTTACATGATGAAACTTGTGTTTACTGCTGTTTACAGAACAGAAAACTTGTGCATATGTGATCAATAAAGCAGAAGTACAAATGTATTACTGTCAGTATCTGTGCTGCTAAAAATGTATATATATATAGATGTTGTCATTTCAATTTTCAGAAGAAAATGCTGTCTTTTTAACTGCAGAAGAACAAGGCTTTGTCTTCCTGTAATTCTGAAGTGAAAAGTTGTCATCAACAAGAAAACTAAAACCTTTAAAAGATAGGCGTTAGTAGTAGAATGCTGAAACAAACTTCTGGATTAGCTTCATTGGCTTTCCTGCTTCTTTTGCATCCCAAAGCATAAGCTTAAATCGTCTCAGAAGGACAAGGTCCGCCAGTTTATGGCATTTACCCAGGCTGGTGAAAGGACTGCTATCTATTGCTTAATGCAGAATGAGTGGAAACTAGAAGTGGCAACAGACAACTACTTCCAGAACCCAGACTTGTACTACAAAGAATCCATGAAAAATTCAGTAGACAGGAAGAAATTAGAACAACTGTATAATCGGTACAAAGGTAAGGCCTGGGGGTTTTTTGTTGTTTTGGACTGGTGTTTCTGCTTCTCCCTCTGCTGTTCCTAAGGACTTTCAAGGAAAGACTGTTAATTTTTGCTTCTCACTGTTTCTGATAATGAGATGAGAATGAGAAAAGGCTTTAAATGCTCTTAGCGCTACACAACTTCTGTAGCTATTCCTGTGGAGTTTGAAGTAAATTCACAACAGGAAAATAAATTATTTGGGTTGGAAGGGACCTTAGACTGTGTAGTTTCAACCTCCCTGCGTGGGCAGGGACACTTCCCACTACACGGGGTTGCTCAAAGTCCCACCCAGTCTGGCCTTGAACGCTTCCAGGCAGAGGTCAGCCAGGACATCCCTGAGCAGCTCGTGCCAGTGTCTCATCACCCTCGCAGTAAAGAATTTCTTGCTCCTATCTAACCTAAATCTACTGTCTTCCAGTTTAAGGCCAGCATGAGGAAATAGTGTCAGCTATATATGGTGGAGAGGAGATCTTATTATGCAGCTTATTTGATTTATTGCCAGTGGCAATATTCATATTAATTATTGGCAGTTAATCAGACAAAGGTGGATTGTACATATATTTAAATAATACATGTGATTCTTACACTAATATTTGATGGAGGTAATTTTGTTCTAAGTAATATTTCTATACATGAAAATCAAAAACATTTCAGATAACATTACAGCTAGAAATCTAACAAAACGGTTGAATAAGAAAACTCAAAAACTTGCAATGGAAACTTCATCCTTAATTTATTCTTTGTGCTGGCATGTTACAGCAAAAATTATGTGCCTGTTCAGAAAGGCTTGGAGGGAAAGCCACAAGGACGTGGATTAAAGGCAGAGTTGTTTCTTTCTAATTTATTTTTATTTTACAGCGTTGTTAAAAAGAACAGAAAGAATAAAAGGAATAGATAGTCATGTAGATACGAAAATGCTTGTCATCCAGGTAACAGTGCTTCTGGAAATGTTTCCATCTGACATGAATGTGTGCATTGTTCATTACACATTGGAGTAGAGCAGGCTGGAACCAATCCAGGACAACCAGCCCCTGCTGAAATCTGAATATCTCACGCTTTAAAATATGAACTCTATGATTTTACATACTTTTTCTAATTGCAGTGTATGGCGTGCTTTGAATACACTTTATCATGTTCTTATAATAGTTTCCATGGGTTATTTTGTTACCCTCTACATAATGTTTTACTTTAAGCTTAGGCATTCTTCAATATTTCATTATTATGTGGTAGTGGATTGTGTAGGGACAAAGCATCACCAACACTATAGCATTCCCATTGTGGGAAAAAAAACCCCTAGAGAATAACTTGTTAAATTTTATATATATGAATACATCTGTTTATATACAGATACATATACAAGTCTATATCTTTTGCTTGCTCCTTGTATGTCAGTCTTAAAGACTGCTGGGTCAAAAATACCTACAAATTGATAAATGCTTTAAAGAATATCTAAGAGGAATAAAAAAATCACAAATGTAATTTATTATTCATAATTTCCCAGCAGTGGCAAACAGCACTGCTTGGCTTTTGTGAAAGGTCTAGTCAGTTTCATGTTCATGTTTTGGTTAGCAGCACACCTTTGCACTTCTACCACTTTGACACTTAACTGAAGTTGTAAACTTGAACAAAGCCTTTGCAAGATTTGAAACAAAACAACAAAAGGTTTAGCTAAGCACCTTTCCTTTTTTTTGTATGTAGCTTAAACCTGAATCATTTGCCTCACAGCAACAAGGAATTCCTTTGTGCTAGGGGCTCGCAGAATGCTGCCTACCTTGTGTATTTGAAACCTGAGATGAGAGGACTTTGATTTTCAGTGCTGTCTTTGTGTTAATTTTTGTGCCCGTTTATCAAAACAGGTTTTTCTTACCTGCTCTATCAAAACAACAGTTTCATTTTTGTTCCTTGTTACCTGGATGACATGAAACATGATATGGATGAGACGGTCTTTGTTGAAATCCATCAGAATTTTTCCACAGATTTAGTCACTAGTGCATTTTCTGCCTTATGTTCAGTTACTCCCCAAATACACAATAATTACATTTTACATGTCATAGAACTAAATCTAGCATATAGTAGGATAGATATGTTTACTTGTTATTCCTGCTCAAAGGTCTCTGGGTGTAATTCTTTGATGGATATAAAACTTGGTTTGCTAAGTTAACTCCCTCTCTGCATTTTAGCATTTCTTCCACTGTATTAGCTGGAAAAGTGGAAGAGATCTTTAGCTTAACACCCCCCCCCCTTCACCCTTCCCTCCAAAAAAGTTAAGTTTTCTTTAGACCCGAGTTTTGAACTTTTTTTTATCATCTCCTTGGAGAGGGACTTTAAAAATAGCATGACTGAAAATCTTACCAGTTTAAGCAGTTAATCTTAAATTTACTTGAGGGATACTTTTCTACAAAGCCCAACTTAAAATACCTTTTTTTTTTTTTTTCCTAGCAAAAACCGAGAAAGACAGTTTTGTAGCTTGTAAACTGCCAAGCTTTGAAAAAAAAAAAAAAAAGAAAAAAAGGTGTTTTTGGTTTTGGTTTTTTGCTTCCAATTATTTATGTTTACATTGTTTCATTGTGGGCTTTTTTTGAGAGAACTTTGTTACAATGACGTCTATCCTCGTAGAGATTAGATAGTTATAAAAAGTGGTTCTGACATCCAATATGGTGGTAAAAGTACTATTGAAACACAGTATTTCCTAAGTTGGATTGTTTAGCTTAAGACCCTGTTATGCTAAGGTCTTGTTTTGGAAATTTCTCTGATTTATAATTAAAAACTAAACATGTTTGAGTTAATTGTGGTCTTTAAGCAGATATGGTTGATTATCATCTATCCCTATCAGGAAGAGTAAAAATCTGTGGGCTTACTTAGTGGTGCTTTTGTTGTTTTGTTTTTCTTTTTTTCTTTTAAAGTTGAATACATGCCAACAAATATTTTGTACATTTTGAGATGTTTATCAGCCTTACTGGCTTTAGATGTGGTTGGGCATCTCTTAAGCTAATTCAGGTATTTTGTAGAGCATTGTGGTGGTAAGACAAAGCTATTTCATTGACACTAACCGATGAATTCAGGAAAAAGTTGGACACCGGTTTCTAGGGGAGTTTGCAGAATACTTAATCTGTTTACAGGAATTCTTCAGGGTACTTCCAAAATTACCTAAATTTCAAGTGGAGGCATTAGTGAAGCTTGTGGGAAAATAATGAAGGCCTGTGTTATGCAGTTTATCAAAGCTGTGCAGGTGATTATTTGTGTTGTTTTGTTTGTTTTTTTTAAAAAAGTTACAGTTCTTCTCTCTGTATTTTGAACTGTAGACCCACAAGATGAAAATAAAATTGGCATTGATGGGATTCAGCAGTTCTGTGATGATTTAAACCTGGACCCAGCCAGTATCAGTGTTCTGGTTGTAGCATGGAAGTTCAGGGCAGCTACTCAATGTGAATTCAGTAAAAAGGAATTTGTTGATGGCATGACAGACTTGGGGTAAGTATCCATTTCTGAACAGTTCTGTGTAGTTTGAAATGTAAAGCCTGAGCTCAGTGGAAAACATTTTTAATTTCATTAAGTGGGAAGCCTCAAAAAGCTGATAAGGCTGTTGCTAAATGCTTTCAGTGTCCCGGGTTCCTTGAGTTGGTGTTTTACTGCAAAGCCTTAACAATGACCACAGTAATGGTGAAGCAAAATAGTTCCCTTTGCACAGCAAGGAAAACAGCCAGATATGCTGATCTTTCCATGTAATTCAAACATATGCATGGTTGTGCTAAGGTTTTTACTTTGATTGGGTGCTGTTAAAAGCTGGAAATCACTGGAGAAGTATGAAGGAAAAAAAGTTCAGTCAATGTTGAAACGGAAAAAAACCCTTCAATTCTTTGCCTTCTGACCACCAAACTTGTTACCTGTTTTGCAGATTATCATTTTCTCTTATTCTCTTGTATATTTGATACTTCATTTGTACAGAATATCTATAAGAAATAGAAATTAAAATTAGAGTATTGGTAGTAGAAAAGGTATTGGTTTAGTTGGTCTGTGATGTAACTGATAATTTTTCTTTTCCTTCCTGGTTTATGGAGCTGTTACGAGTAACAGACTTTGGAATTAAACCATGTGGCTTCTGCTTAGCAATGAAGTCAAGGATTTGTAATTATTAAGTAATATTTTATGTAAAACTTTTCCTTGGAAGAGTTCTATTTGTAATACATAGAAGTGTCTGTGATTTTTTTTTTTTTAACAGATTGCATTAGGTATGTGGAGACTTACACTTTATTACTTGCACATGAGTTTTTTTGTTGCTAAATAATTTTATCTTAGAATAGCACCTTATCGATACCTTTCTACCACAGACCAGCTTCTTGCAAATGTGGTGCTTGTTTCTGGAGCAGAGGTCCTAGCAATCTGTTGGTACTGACCTCATTGGTTAGTTACTTCTTTCTAAGCTTTCCTTTTTTCAGAAGGGTATTCAGAAATTGTGATGAAATAACTTTTGATATAATCTGAAGTGCACTGCTTTATTTTTCCCTTTTGAGTAGTTTTGGGTAGAGACTCTTAAGAATAATTACAATTTTCTGGCCATGGACAGCAATCAAGTGGTCATGCTGTTCTATTTAAGGCTACTGGTATTATTTGATATAAAAAGGTTTAAAATTATTAAAAAGGTTTTGCTAAACCACCTGTGGCTTCTGGCTTGGGTTTGGTTTGATGATTTTCTTGTCACATTGCTCCTATGTCCTCATGACCGTCTCTGATAGGTAAGTTCCACAGAGGTCTGTGATTTTTATCTCTTTCTGGTCAACACACATAATTGCATTCTTGGAAGCATAATCTGATCATATGTGCTTGCCAGTGGTCTAGTGCCTACTGAGAATTTGGAATCTTTTTATTTTTTTTTACATTCTGGAGGTGAAGTGTCTGGTTTCTGGTGTTGAACACAGAACCAGAGAATTGTTGCTGTTGGAAAAGACCTCTAAGAACATTGTGTCTGACTGTCAACCCACCCTGCCCTAAAAAAAAAAAAAAAAATCTATTAAAAAAAAAATGTGGTGATTTGAATGAAAAGGAATTCCCTGAGGCTTAGTTCATACAGCACCTTTAGGATACAGGTGAGAAGGTATGATGTATGTCCCTATTGTTAACTAGTTCAAGTCTCCATGAAATTGAAGTTCTCAGTTGAAGACTTGGCAGAATTATTTCTGTTCTCCACCAGGTACTGCTGGAGGCTAGAAACGTACTTATTTTCATCTGTACCATGCAAAGAGAGTTAAAACTGCATGCACGTTTTTATGGATTTTGCTGCAGTTACCAATCTTTAATAAAATTATTCTTTAATCTTTAGAATAAATACAAACATTCAGCTACTGAGAATTTTAAATGCAAGGTGTTAGTTGTGATTACTGCTTCTTTGAAACATGTTTCCTTTGCTTTGAGTTTCTAGGTGCAATTCAAAATACTGATTATATCCTATAAACCTTGAATATTCATTTGATTCCTTGGCGTGAGGGGAACCCTTTTTTCCTTTTAAAATTGCATCTTGTCAGCTCAGGTGCTTTCACTGAAAATGCTCCAGTCTTGTGTTGTTATGGGATGTGTTTCTATTAGAATCCCAGTAACCTGACTCTATCTTAGCATACTGTGCCAGGCTGTTAAATGATTTGCCAGCCTTTAAACTATTGTCAAAGGCTCATTTTTTTCCTAGCTTTTATCCACAAATTATCTCATGTGAGAAGGGGATGACTGCGAATAATAGTTAATTTTGTTGAAAGTCCCCTAACATTAAGGTTAACTGTAAAAGTAGGGTGCAACTCTTCGTTTAGGTAGAGAAGGGAATAAGTAACATCTAGACTAAAGGAAAACCCACAACCTTGTGTTACAACATCTAAAAGAGGTAGAAGGATAGCAGGTTTCAGTGAAGTTTATACGTTCTTCAAGAACAGAATAACGTTGTTTGAGTTCATCAACTCATGAAGAGACTGAGAAGAGGCCTACTGAATCCTGTTTGGGTTGCCTGCTTAGTGGATACCTATATAAAATGTTCCACTTAAATTTGTTTAGTAAAGGTATATGAGTGTTTATGTTGTTAAGAATACTATTCAGAAAGATACCCTGTTTTTAGCTTTACTACTGTTTTGTTTGTCTGAAACTAAGCCTTAATAAATAAAAAGAAATAACAAAAGTAAAAAGAAATCTTAAATATTGACAAATGATGTAACCTCTCTTGAACAGGTGTGACACCACAGAAAAACTAAAAGCTCTATTACCAAGACTGGAACAAGAGCTAAAGGATCCAACAAAGTTCAAAGATTTTTATCAGTTTACTTTTAACTTTGCTAAAAACCCTGGACAAAAAGGTTTAGGTAAGTAGAAAAAAATTGAGAAAATATCTACAGACAGTCAAGTCAATTCCAAGTACTTCAAATAGTACAATTTTCTTATCAATGATTGTATAGTGAAATCATTATTGATCTCTTTCACTGACTTCTCCTCTTCCCCATTTTTTTTTTTTTGCAATTAATCTCTTATTTAATGTCCCCTTGGTACAGATAATTTAATGGTGTTTTCTGCTAGCATTGATATTATCTCTTCTCTTGTCAAAGGAAGTTCCTGCAGCTCTCAGAGACCTGTAAGATAGTTTTTAAAAAGACAGAGCTATTGAGCTCCTTGGGTTTTATGCTTTGTTTAGAACAACTGAAGCAATATGTCCATGTCAGCTTAAAAAGAGGGAGAAAACTCTAGGTAGAAGTTATTTTTCTTCTAAGAATTTTTAGTTTTAGCTCAGTTTTTATGTAAAATTTAGAGTAACAATATTATGGACTTGGTTCAAAGCTAGTGAATAGGAGTAGACATACAGTTTGTAAAGTATTAAATTATTATTCTTTGTAAAGTTTGAGATTTGTCCCATTCCATGCCTTCTATTGCAGGAGTAAAATGGATACATTATTTAAATTCCAATGTTTTATTCTCTTAAAATAAAAAATAACTGTAGTTTGTGAACAGAGGGAAAAAAATTTAAGGTGAAATCCGAGATGCTTTCAAATTTATGTCCACTTTCAAAAGACAACGTGGAGGAATGAATCAAACAGGGCCTTGTGTAGAATAGCGCCGTACTTTCATCGCTGTTCTCTTTTGCCAGGGATAAGAGGAAGTGTTGTGGGGTTTTTTGTGGGGTTCTTTTTCCTAGCATAGGCATTTTAACTCTGTCTACGTTACTTGGCAAGCATGTTAATAAATACTTTTTCTCAAAAATTGTTGGAAGAGTAGTGAGATGGAGGTACAGAATAATGATTTAGACCTTCTCAACCAAAGACGTCTGTTGTGCATTCTTTCTTGGGGACTACTTTGAATAGTATCTCTTGTCTTTCCTAGTGCCTTTTTTTTTTTTTTCTGCCTTTTTTAAAATCTTAGCAGCTTTTAGCCAGTTTCCATATTTCTTTGTTTTGTCTTTTTTCAGCAATCTCATTTTCCGTTACTCTTTCTTGGGTCACATGCCACTTTTCCAGAAACAGAAATGAAATAGTCTTGTAGTGGTTCCATGAGACTGGTTGGAATTCAAGTCCCTTAGTAGTTCTTCATTTTCTTGCCTCTCCTCTCTTCATTAAAAAGCCTAGTACTTTCAGATTGTGAAAAAGGTAAGTCAGTTACAGCTGAGGATACCTAAAGAAGGAATACAATACCTAAAGGAGTATTACAAATGGCTTCGTGTTTAAATTGAATCAGTTCTGATGTAAAACTCATGTACATGGGAAATGACTCAAAAGAGACTCTCTTTTGCAAAGAGAGGAGGAGGAGGGAAGGCAGCCCAACCGAGATTGTGGAACTGAATTTGCTGTTGATTTGACATAAGGAGGCAAAAGGAAACTTACTTGTTTCATTTGTAAGACTGTCTTCTCTGTTGTGTAAGAAAGGTGTTTTATTGCCAAAAAGTACCAAAGTGCCTTCTTGCACTAGGAGTTGAAATATTAGCAGAAGAAAGTAAAAAGTGCAAAAATTAAAGTGAAGCTCAAAACAAACTGTAGAAAGAGTTGATTTGAACTGTTGCTGATTTCAGTTTTCAGGAATTGTGGTAATTCTCTGGTAATATTTGCGGTTTCTTAATTTCAAATAGTGCTTTAGTTCTTGCATGGCAGCCTTTTGGAGACATTTTTCATAAGGCTTCCTGGTTTTGCTGGGATGATTCTGGATATTAAATATAAGCAGTTCCCACTGCTCTTATATCAGTGGAGATACATCATCTTTCTTTCTGGTGTGAACTTGGATCACTATAGCTCAGAGTAGCAAGAGATTGCTGAGGAAGCATGTTGACGAATGCCACTTTTTTGAGTGGTTGAAGTCAGTGATACCTTATCCAAATAAATATTAACACTGTATAGGTTTGGGGTTGGAGCCTTTTTAGGGAAGGCCATTATATTCAATGGAGCAGAGAGACTGAGGAAGAAAAAAAGTTTACTTGTTGGCATTTACAATTCCT